TAATACAGCTCACACTGTCCGCTCCTCGAGCCTCAAAGGGCGGAGCAGCGAGCCCTGCAACGTCCCGCCAACACGGCACCCAGACCCCACGCAGCATTCTCATCTGTTTGTCATTACTGGTGTCATTTTCTGGTTGCTAACAAACGCCATTGTAACACATAATCACTGATGTTCCGCTGTAACGGTGATGGACTAATCAGAACAGAGTGGGCGAGCTGACCAATCAGAGCACAGTGGGCTCATAGGGAGGGGGGGCAGGCATACTTGCCAACCCTCCCGATTTTCGTGGGAGACTCCCGATTTCACTGCCCTCTCTCGGTTTCCTCCCGGGGTCATATTTCTCCCGCATTTCTCCCGATTTCTGACAAAATCAGATTTACTCACGACTGTTTCCACTGAGGACTTTAATACAGCTACACCATTGTTTGGTTTCCATGGTAGCGCATCTCTTTAGTAGCGCGCGCAACTGAAAGTCTGAGAGGGTGTTCAGCATGGTGAGGAAGATAGTCACAGAACAAGAATGGACAACTCTACCCTCTGCTCACTCCTTTCCTGGTCCTCATCAAGGATGGTGCTACAGGCAGCAAGGCATTGCACTTACAACTACAAGCATGTGTAGATGTTCTTTTCATCTTTAAAAGTCAGTTTCCCCGCTGCGAGGCTCCGGTGCTAACAGTTCTAACAGCTCCGGCGATCCACTAGCATTCCCCCCCGGCGCGGTGGTTTTTAATTTCTCCCGATTTCTGAGGTCTCAAGGTTGGCAAGTATGCGGGCAGGAGCTCCAACAAGCCGTTTAGGACAGAGTGAATACACATACTATACAGAGATGCTGTATGAGAAACAAATGTGATTTTGGAACATTGAACAATGTAAATCTATTCTAGTAGACCTCAACAATGGAATTATGATCAGTAGAAATGGCAATGTCATGGGACCTTTAAATTAGTGTTTTTAAATGCCATTTTATAGTATTATATGTTTCTTAATGTCTTTCATTTTTTTAAAGCACCTTTGGAGCGTCCGCATGCAAGCAGTGAGCTCTGTGAAGAGAAGGCTGTCTACCAGCAGAAACTCAGCTAAACGCTGCTGTGATTAAACTTCATATTATGTTCCAAACCACATCAAGGATTATTTCTGAAACAGTATGGAGCTCAAACGATTTCTCTCTCGCGGGTTTACCTCAAGGTGAGTACCTTTTTATATCCTGCTTCTTTACACATATTCTCTCCAGTACATCGTTAGCTCTGAGTGTTAGCGATGCTTGCTATGTAAACAGACCATATTACTTCCAAAACACGTCGCGCATTGTTTCTGATACAGCACATAGGTTGACATTCAGTGTTTACCGATAGAACAGTGCCATTATATGTATTTTATATATATATATATACAGAGATGGGGTCGTTACTAAAAAAAAGTAATATATTACATATTACATATTACTTTAAAAAAAAAGTAATATATTACACTACTTCGTTACTCTCTACATAAAGTAACTCGTTACTTTACTCGTTACTTTACTCGCAGGGCCGGCCCGCCCCTCCCTACAGGCAGATCACGCAGACTGCTAAAGTTTCAAATGTTCTCTTTAGTTCAGTTTCCATTGTTGCATAAGACTGATCCAGATAGCTCTGACCATGGCTGTCCTCTGTCTCCTGCTATCTGTATTTTGCGCAGTATATCTCTGAACGATGCGATGGTGATTCCACTGTGCAAATGGGCAACATTACCTCTACTATGAAGGATGCAACAAGCCTGTCCATCTCTGCTTTGGTTACCGGTCCTCCAAATTCTAATTTGTGCTGCTTCGGAACTCAAAATAATGGGCATACCTCCACCCCTCGAAAGTTATCGCTGACTCAGCCATGTTTATGCAGCACTGCACGTGGATATGTGGACGCGCAAGTCGCGCATATTACGTACATATAAACCTGCGGCGGAAACCCCTCTTGTCTGTCAGTGTGATTATGACTGATTTTATAAAAGTAACGAAGTAACGCGTGTCTGGGCAATGTTAGTAACTGTAATGTGATTACTGAATTATAAAAGTAACGCGTTACACTACTCCGTTACCGACAAAAGTAATATTATTACAGTTACTTTGTAACGCGTTACACCCAACTCTGTATATATATAACAACTTTATTCTAAGTCCCTCCTGTAGACATCCTGCTGAATACACAGACACACAGCTGAGGGAGGGGATTCAGCTAGCGACTGTATATGGGGACGATAGGTTGGGAAGTGGGCGGGACGTTGCCAGGAGTTCAACGTAAAGCCAGCCCACATTTTAGTAATGACGTCATGACCGCAGCAAATCTGGATCAGCTCCGTTGAACTCCCGTTTTTAGAGATGTGGGTAAGGAGGAAAAGAGAGAGGGTTGTATTTTCTGACACACACGTCTCCTTACACACCGGGGACACATACTTATGTAGAAAATACATAGAAAAGTGCATTTTGCATAATAGGTGACCTTTAAGAGTTTATTTTGTTTCAGATTTTCCTTTAACCCTCCTATTGTCTTCGTTTTCCCCCCCTTACTTTGGTGTTCACGGTCAAATTTGACCGGTCCTGTTTTAACTGCTATTACATTAACACAAAAACCATTAATCATCACCAAATTTCATTTAACACCCTTTCAAACTGTAAATATTGTATCAGACTACTGGTATACATGAAAAACTGCAGTAAATATACAAAGAATAGACACTGAACATGTATTGCGTGTGCCAGTTGTGATCCATGTGGGGGGATGGGCACATAAGAGCGGGAAATGTGTCAAATTGTTCTGTGTGTGTGTGTGTGTGTGTGTGTGTGTGTGTCTGTGTGTGTGTGTGTGTGTGTGTGTGTGTGTGTGTGTGTGTGTTTTATCTGATCCGGATGGTTACTAATTCCTTTTCTTTATGGGACCGGGAACACCATGGGTGTTACAAAGTTGACTAAATCATCCAAAATTCAATGAAAGTGGTGATCAGCAATTTTATATGTTCAAATGTCTACTGTGAAGGATATCATAAACAGGGCCGTGGTAAGTAGGGGTGCTGAGGGTGTTGCCGTGTGGAGGACAGGGGATCTGCACTTCCACAAGATTAAATACAAATATAATACAAATATAAAACAAAAAATATCGTACATTTTCCATTTGCCCTGTACGATGGACGCTGTAAGTGATGAAAGTGGGGGATGTTGGCTTATCAGGCGCCCGCAGCTAGATAGATAGAGAGAGGGGGTGCACCGGTACTGGCGGGGATTGTTGTTAGCTTCTGCTGCGCTAACGGATATAAGAAGCTGTTTCTACAATAATGTGGAGGGAGAGTTCTGTCCTGTCAGACTGAGAGGCTCAGTGAGGTAAAGGACTCTGAGGGTTTAGATAGTTCACTTTAGTCTAAGGCAGGGGTGGGGAACCTCCGGCCCCCGGGCCGTATACGGCCCGCGAGACCATTTGGTACGGCCCTCGAGGTAATTTATAAACACACGCAAAAAAGTAAAAAAATTTAAGAAATCTAGACCGCAAAAAAATTAAAAAAGCGAGTGCCTGTTTTTCCAGCCTAACGATGACACGTTAGGCTGGTGTTGTGTTCAAGGACCCTGACCGTCCTTGAACACAACACCAGCCTAACGTGTCATCACGTGGTATATGTCTCGTCTGACAGGGGTGTAGAGCTGACGGAGAGCACCAGAACGCTGCTCCGGCAATTCACAAATTGCAGTACCCATAAGGAGCCGTACACATGCTGCAGTTTTTACGTGGCTGTGTCTTTAGTTGAAAGCCCAGTGGCGATCTGTTTATCTGTCATACTGATCATACAGTCAATAACTTTGTTGTTATTAGCATCTGGTTAGCTAGCTATGCTAACGAATATAAGAAGCTTTTTCTACAACCAGTGAGGTAAAGGCACATCTTTATATGATCATTATAGTTATACAAAAATAAGAGAATAAAGTAAACAGGTATAACATACTATATGACAGTAAAAAAAAGTTGTCATTAATAAACAAGAATAGAGTTTGAAAGGGGAGTGATTTGTAAAATATCCATAAAGAAAAAGAAATCTGCTTACAGTTCTGTTTCATATGGATGTTGAGAGATGTATCCATAGATCTCTTAATGTTGCTCTCAAAGTGCACCAGAATGATGCTTTTAATTCAACATTTAAAAAAAAATCTTCCCGGGGGAGCATGCCCCCCAGACCCCCCTAGAGGACGTTAGGTCCCCCCCCCCCACACTTAAATCATGTCCACATGGATAGGAAACTAAATACATTTGCACACATCGTGTGTCCACATCTTTCTGTTTTGGTGGTCATGCCACAACCGTGCACGTGCATGCATCGAGTCATGGTAAAATATCTGGATTAAGAGGTTGCTTTTTCTTTGCACAGCATGAAAGAAAGGCCAAATGAATGGGCTGTTATTTTAGTATTTTTAAGCAGAGGTCAATAATTTGTACGCCCCTCGGAGGATGTAGAAAAAATTGAACTGCAAACCGATCTTTTTCATATGGGTGTTTAGAGTTGTACCCCCTAGATCAGTCTCTAGTAATTGGGCGCTCAAAGTGCACCAGATTGAAGCATTTTACTTAAAAATGTTAAAACAAATCTTCCGGGGAGGGCACCCCCGGACCACACTAGAGGATGTGACATCCACCCTCCCAATTAAAACATGTTCATACAATACTAAATACATTTGAAGCCTTTTCATATAAGCTGTCCACCATGTCAATACGTTTCTCTTTTTGTAGTGTATTGGTCTTTTGTAGAGGTTTTTCATTGCCAGCTAAAATCTTGCCAGCAAATTAGTCAGAACCAGCCCTGGTGTCATCCCCACAGCACCCCCCATTTGAAACATGTTCCCACGGCTATGATCATAAAGCCTTAATGCAATCGAATGTAAAACAAAAAAGTTATGATTGATGAAAGTAGTAAATCATCAGATTTGACCCGAAGACAACAGGAGGGTTAAACTTCATGATACTACCAGAAGTGAATACAGTACATACCTATGACAGTGAGGGTGATGCTGCTGGAGGCTAGAATCACTCTGCCTGTGGAGCTCCGGTCATAGATCCCCACATGGCACTCATACAGGCCGTCATCCTCCATCTGGACCTCAGGAAGCCTGTTCACGTACACACAATTACACACATCACAGAGGGTCTTTATCATTTCCCCTTACAATTTCATCTTCTCAGATGTTGAAGTGGGATTAGATCATTTTCTGGAGATTAGTTTCCCCCTAAAGCTCTGTCTTTAAAAACATATGTGTTAATATAACACAGCTTGGCTTGTCTCACCGCACAGTGGACTGGTAGACCAGATCCTCAGGTCTGCGGTAGTCCTCCATGTTGGAGTAGTTGGTGTTGTACATGGCATCATAGGTGAATATCTTCTGCTTTGCACTTCCTCCTTCAGTCACCTGAGAGGAAAACCAACATTCATTACCCTCACTGACTCTGAATACAGCAGACCATGTAGACATGAAGTCCAATATTGTGTCTGTGTCGTGGAGCAGCGCAGCACAATGGTCTGCGAGATCATTCTGGAGGACTATCTTTATCTCAGCATTCCATCAACTGATTTACGGGCATTTCACTACTCTAGATAAACCAACCAGCAAATCATAGCAGTGCTGTTAAAATATTTAAAGTTTCTCCTCTCTGCTTTCAGATGTCATTTTAGGTGAATCGTCGCAGTGTCTCTGGTCCCTCTCACAGTCCCTGCTCTGGGATTACGGCGACCTGTCCAGGCAACACACTCTCACTCCATAAACGTCCAGGAGCGACACTTGGTCAGGGTCCCGAGGCGTGCAGTTGGGACGCTCCTAGGCTCCTTCAGCTTCATAAACAGACGCAAATAGCTTTCAACTGATTGCAATGTATTCACATCTGCGGCGGGATTTGACGCTCATGGAAGCACGGCATTCGTTTGTGTCGGAGGCTGTTAAAGGCAATGTGAGCGTCCATTCCCATTGGATAACGGAGAATTGTACACCCGGACGTAAGTATTCCCCTTACTGTCGATTGATTTGACAGTGATATCTCCACTACTCATCAACTCAAAAACACCAGATTATCCTTGTTAATTAAACGACATTGATAGGTTGTAGTGTGTGTACAATGCTTTTGTCACATTTTCCCCTTCAATTCTGAGAAACAAGTCGTTTTCTATGAGTTTTGGATGGCCGAAGACATTACATTACCCACAATCCTCTGTAGCAACCATAGACTGTATATTGCAACAGGCAACAGCTTCGGTTCATGTTCATTTACAAACTCTTCAACTACAACCGTAGTTATATTTAAAAACATGTTAGAAGGCCTCACAAAATACTTTCATGTAAATTTAAATTTAAATGTGAAGGAATGTGTGTATATTAACTGTGGGTTTTTCTCTGGAAGTTTTTCCTTGTACGATGTGAGGGTCAAAGGACAGATGATGCCGTTTTTCTCATACTGATATTCCGCTATGCACGCTGGGATTTGGTGTTTATGCGATGTGAAATCCGAAAACATTTCAAAAAAATTAAATAATACATTATTCCGAGTGTGTTTGCTTTTCTCTTTGAAAGTCATCACATAACGGCATTGTAATACACATTTCGGCTGAATTAAATATTACATATCTGCCGTAGTTAACTCTATTTATAGAGCCCTGATGAGAACACTTCTAGACAAACAGGAACTGCCGCCAAAACTGAAAACTTGACGTGGATCTTAAATATATAAGCAATTAAACAACATCTTACATTTCTTTTCACACAATACGTCTCCTTGCAGTATCAACACTAATTCGGCTGACTTTTATATTTGATCCAATTGGTAGATAGGCTGTATTTACGCCATAACGGTGCACAGCTGATAGAAAGGGTATTAGATATTAATAGAAGGATGTGCAAAACAGACAAACTAATAAGGCTATTAGGACACCCTCTGTCCTTAGACCCTCACATCGTACAAGGAAACACTTCCAGAGAAAAACCCACATTTCAAAGGGAAAAATGGGAGAAACCTCGGGGAGAGCAACAGAGGAGGGATCCCTCTCCCAGGATGGACAGAAGTGCAATAGATGCCGTGTGTAAATCGAAGAGATAATACATTTTACAGCGTAGGTAGACCGCATGACAAATAAAGAAGTGTAATGTAAACATTTACATTATTATTATGATTATTTAATATATAAAGACTATATATTATTGAATTACAAGATTAGATATACTTTATTTGATCTAAAATATTGATGTGTTCAAATGCTCTTATAAACAAAACTGAAAGTCCATAAAAAGTTGTCTTTCTGTATTTGTGAATGAAGCGCCATCTCCTGGTTAAATCCTGAAATTGAAAATCTGGCAACGCCCTCTTGGAAAATAGTGGGAGGGCTTAACATTCCCAGATGCTGGTCTTAGGCAGGTCTTAGGCAGGAAGCTGTAAGCTGGAGTCCTATCTGGAGTGCTACATCCGTACAGATAAATATTAAGCCTGACAAAGTACTTAAAGGAGAGGTGTCATGGCCATTTCCACTGATCATAATTCCATTGTTAAGGTATACTAAAATAGATTTATACTGTGCATTTTTCCAAACTCACATTGGTTTCTCATACAGCATCTCTGTAAACTACGTGTATTCACTGAATTTCACTCTCTGCCTTTAACGGCTCGTTGTAGCTCCCAAAGCTCCAGGCCCCACCCTCCCTGTGAGCAGAGTGTGCTCTGATTGGTCGGGACGTTGTGAATCGCGCTGAGCTCCGTGGAGGTGTTGTTTCCTTGTTTAGGATACATAGCGAAACACAGCCAAACTCATCCTGAGCACACACAAAGTCACAGCCGAAGTAAAAACATTAAGTGTGGCTTGATATTGAGTAAGAAAAAGGTTGATAAACGCTGTGAGAATGGGTCTGCAGAGAGAATTTCGCCGCGATCCCAACTGTCTGTTATCAGCCTGCAGCCAGGGAGGAGAAATCAGCAGAGCTGCCTGCTCCCTGCACACAGATGTGTGTGTGAGGAAGTCCGTGGATTGGTCAATTTGGACCAATCAGCGGGGGCTTAACGTCCATTTCGTTCCGGGTACGGCTTGACATCATGCCGTCCCGGAAGAATCAAATGGACAATGACGTATCTCCAACGAGGCGTTTTGGGGAGGTATTTTCTGTGTTAGAGTTTTACTCGCTATAGGGTGTACTTTGAGGGTTTTGACTCTGCACACCGTTTACATGCATAAAAACCTTCATAACACACAAGGGGACGGGTAATAACCGGAAAAGCATGACACCTCTCCTTTAACGTCTAATATATTGCTTTCCTGCAATGTTAACTATGTTTAAGCACTTATTTTAACTGATATTATACATATGTATTATACTCTTATAAGATGTATGTAGATAGTATAAGAAATGTGCAGAATATGACAATGTAATGGTGGAGGTACACACATATTGATAGATGTCTTGTAATGCACTGTTGAGGAACCTGCGACCCAAGTTTTTCATTCATTGCATAACTACACCGTAGTTGTGGATAATATGATATGTCAATAAACCTTAGAAAATCTTGAAATCTTGAATGGGATGTGCAAAATAGTCATTATATACAGTCTTTAATTAACTATTAGTAGAGAATAACGACGAGTAAAGAATATACTTTATAGGGATCCTATTAATATCTAATAATGCAATTATAAAATGCAATAACGTGCTTTAACCAGTAGGTGTCCCTTTCTATCAGCTGTACACCGTTATGGTGTAAATACAGCCTATCTACCAATTGGATCAAATATAAAAGTCAGCCGAATTAGTGTTGATACTGCAAGGAGACGTATTGTGTGAAAAGAAATGTAAGATGTTGTTTAATTGCTTATATATTTAAGATCCACGTCAAGTTTTCAGTTTTGGCGGCAGTTCCTGTTTGTCTAGAAGTGTTCTCATCAGGGCTCTATACATAGAGTTAACTACGGCAGATATGTCATATTTAATGCAGCCGAAACGTGTATTACAATGCCGTTATGTGATGACTGTCAAAGAGAAAAGCAAGCACACTCGGAATAATGTATTATTTATAGGGCTGTCAGTCGATTAAAATATTTAATCGCGATTAATCGCATGATTGTCCATAGTTAATCGCGATTAATCGCAAATTAATCGCACATTTTTTATCTGTTCTAAATGTACCTTAGAGGGATATTTTTCAAGTTTTTAATACTCTTATCAACATGAGTGGACAATATGCTTTATATGTTTGTTTATTATCATTTGAACAATGACAAATATTCTCATGAATATTAAACACAACAACCTCTGAACATTACAAATATTCGCCTCAATTCAACCTAGAACCTCTCTCATACAATACTGTGTGTGTGTGTGTGTGTGTGTGTGTGTGTGTGTGTGGTGTGTGTGTGTGTGTGTGTGTGTGTGTGTGTGTGTGTGTGTGTGTGTGTGTGTGTGGTTGTGTGTGTGTGTGTTGTGTGTGTGTGTGTGTGTGTGTGAATGTGTGAATGTGGAGACACTGTGATGGATCGTTGGAGCTATGTGCAGCTCAAGCATATATGCTCGAATGGGAGCTGCCTGGACGCTGCAATCATGTTGCGCGCACTATCCGTGCTGAGTGTGCTGACTTTTCGTACAATGTCCCACTGTCTGGCTACTTGCATAAAGTCAAGTGCTCGGCGCAGTTGTCGGCGAAATGTCGCTCCTCTGTTTTAATTGAAACAGCTCCTTATATCCGTTAGCGCAGCTAGCTAGCACCAGATGCTAACAACAACAACAACACGTAAGGTGTGCCTCGCTCGCTCCACACACACACACCCTCCCGGTCCTCCCGATGGCCAGTCCGGGCCTGCCGGTGAGCGTGGAAGTGTGGTCTGCCACAAGCGGGCGGCAGGAGCGGGGCTGTCAGCATCAGCTTGTAGATGGTATTTTAAACTCGATGCGCTCTGAAACTATACGGGGCGGCCGAGGACAAAAAATACACATGCGTTAATCGCGTTAAAATAATTAGTGGCGTTAATCTTTTTTTGCGTTAACGCGTTAACTTGACAGCCCTAATTATTTAATTTTTTTTAAATGTTTTCGGATTTCACATCGCATAAACACCAAATCCCAGCGTGCATAGCGGAATATCAGTATGAGAAAAACGGCATCATCTGTCCTTTGACCCTCACATCGTACAAGGAAAAACTTCCAGAGAAAAACCCACAGTTAATATACACACATTCCTTCACATTTAAATTTAAATTTACATTCAAGTATTTTGTGAGGCCTTCTAACATGTTTTTAAATATAACTACGGTTGTAGTTGAAAAGTTTGTAAATGAACATGAACCGAAGCTGTTGCCTGTTGCAATATACAGTCTATGGTTGCTACAGAGGATTGTGGGTAATGTAATGTCTTCGGCCATCCAAAACTCATAGAAAACTACTTGTTTCTCAGAATTGAAGGGGAAAACGTGACAAAAGCATTGTACACACACTAAAACCTATCAATGTTGTTTAATTAACAAGGATAATCTGGTGTTTTTGAGTTGATGAGTAGTGAAGATATCACTGTCAAATCAATCGACAGTAAGGGGAATACTTACTTCCGGGTGTACAATTCTCCGTTATCCAATGGGAATGGACGGTCACATTGCCTTTAACAGCCTCCGACACAAACGAATGCCGTGCTTCCATGAGTGTCAAATCCCGCCGCAGATGGGAATACATTGCAATCAGTTGAAAGCTATTTGCGTCTGTTTATGAAGCTGAAGGAGCCTAGGAGCGTCCCAACTGCACGCCTCGGGACCCTGACCAAGTGTCGCTCCTGGACGTTTATGGAGTGAGAGTGTGTTGGTCCAGGGTGTTCTCAGTCAGAATTTGTGAAAAGTATGTTCAACTATGTCTCTTCAAACAGGTATATGGGGACAACATTTGAATACACAAAATGTACTATGGTATAAGAGACTGAGCAGCTCTAATACTGGTTGGGATATAAATATACACTATATATAAGTGTGTCACTTATTCAGCCAAGATTAAGAGTTTACTCACTCATTTTAAATAGCAGATAAAACCCCTCATAATTCCTGTTTCTGTATGGGGCACTTCCTCTGAAGTCCCTGCTCTTGACACTCACCATGGTAATGATTAAATACGATCTGATTTGATTCTTGGACTGATATGTAGATATACTTCTGGTTTGGCAGTTACTAGAGAATCTGGATCCTTTTACGGACTCAAGGTCTTCTGAGTCAGTCATTGAAGAGATCCGGATCATACAAGTTATTTTAGTCATATGAGTCACCAAGAGCGTAGAAATCCTACCGGTGAAACAGGAGCACATCAGGCGCATTCACACCGCAGTACTTTTCCCACAAAGGTTCATCAGAACTTAGTTCATGAGAACTCTTTAGTTCTCATGAACTAAGTACATATCGCGTTCAGATCGGAATAAGTTCCTGGGGAAGGATTAGGCAAATTAAGCCGCTGACGTCACTTCTTCTTCTGCTTTGGGTTTACTGGCAGGCCGCAAACAACTTCACGGCGTATACTGCCACCCGGAGTCCCCGGCCGGAAGTCCCCGGAGTTGGGGACTGGCTTCAGTAGAAGCTGCTGGGAGTCCCAGCAGCTTCTACTGAAGCCTTCCGAGTAAATCGCCAGAACGCCGACACCTCCTCATCTCCATCGCTCCCATGTTTTCTTTTGTGTTGCCATAAGTTAGTCTCTCTGCGTTTGTGCGCTGGGCTAATGCTAATGCTAATAATGCTAATGCGAGGATAATAAAATGGCGGCTTCACAAAACTTTTGGGGAGTTTTACTGGGCGTGGTTTGCATTCCGCCCAGCCAATCAGACATAGGAACCTTTTTCTCCCACGAAAGTACCTGCTCTCTAGCAGGTAAAGCAGGTAAAGGGGGTAAAAAAGGTTCTGATGAACTCATTTTAGTTCCGGCTCTTTTTGGTGTGAACGCGACATTTCGGAACTATATCGGAACTAAAGTGGGAAAAGTACTGCGGTGTGAACGCGCCTATAGTCTCCAACTTCAAATAAATTCAAATTTTAGAGCTACTAGTGAGGGCGGCAGTCCACTGTTTGTGTATTTGTAATTTTGAATTTGTCACTTGAGATTTGCATTTCACGAGCATATTAAACTAACGTTACATTAACCTCCGCTACACAAACATGATCTAACAACGTTTGTGTGTTAATGCTTGTTTATTGCAGTATTTGGCTTCTTACACTTGACTGGGTGAAGTCGTCAAATTATCTGTGCACAGTATGCATCTACGTTATCACAAACAGAGCTGACACTCACTGAGTCTGAAAACCATGACGAGTCCGAAACCGTTTGCTGTTTCGAGCTGTGTGGAGTAATCCACTCATTCAGTCCGCTCACCGAATCTGAGTCTGCTGTTGACTCGTGCATGATGAGTCTGGATCTCTGGATCTGCTACGGTTACGGCTCCGAGTCCGCACGAGTCTGCAGGAAGTTTCACTGATCCGCGTCCCCTCCCCTGTGCCAAACGATAACTTCTGGCAGCTATCCTACTGGCTAAAGGCTAGGCAGATGGACTGGGGTACGTTGTAATGAGATTTTACATGTTATAAGGTGAGTAGCGAGTGAAGCAATTTATAGTTTTAATTTGTACGTCACCAGTTGTAGGATTCAAAGGACTCGGGTTAATGGAGAGGGGAGACTCGTCACTCCCAGGTCATTACTAGGATCCGGGTTAATGATCCGGATGAATTAGGACTCACCCATCTCTACTTGTTACATTTGCGATTCCTGTTCTTTATAACAACAGGAGGCATATGTTTACATTTTTTTATTTTGGAGCATGTATAAGTCATTCGTGCACACACATTATTTGAAATTACCTGTGTGCTCACCCGAAACCACACAATCTCTCTGAGGTTGCCGTCTGTTTGGAAGTTGCACTTTAGTGTGACTGTGTCTCCGATTACCACAGGAGGAAGTGGTGCAATGGAAACATTTAAATAACCTGAAAAGAGAACAAAGAGCATTCTTTATTGTTATTATCACATCATGATCATCTGGTAATGAACATATGATGAAGCTTTGTATACAACACTGAACGGCTTGTTGTTTTTGATGCATAAAATAGTGAGACGGCTAAAGGAAACCATTTTAGTTACTGGTTATAGCGTTTATTCTGTCCAGGAAAGACCTAAGGGGTGTGTTACTCAACAGAATTACATACAAATAGGGTACATATGTGAGGCAAATGAACAATATAGATTGCAGTAGGAAGAAACTGGGCTGGTCTGATCTCAGTAGTATCACAGTAGCTACAGTGTAGAAATGGCAATGAAAATCTTAGGTCTCTAATGGCGCATTTTCACTGCAGGGCCTCGCACCGCTTAGTACGGTATAGTTAGGCCTTGGTAGGCCAGGCTCACTTTATGCTGCGTTTCCATTACAGTTTAGGAACTGGGGTAGTAACTATAGTAACGCAGTGTAGGTGGAGCCGTGACGTCATCTTCAATGCGAAACACAAAACCAACATCAGCCGTTAGCTGTTAGCACTCAGAGCTCACAGCTCCTCATATCTGTTCAGAAACTAGACAAAAGTGAAACAAGTACAAACCACAGACTGTCTGTGTCATGGCGAATACAGTCGCTGGTTTATTTATGTCTGTATGGGCCGTTGTTGTGAGTGTGGACGGTCGGAGCATATACTGCGTTAGCTTAGCCGATCTCCATTCAGAAAACACGCATTTTAAAAGGTTTTTCGCCTGCCGTCTGTCTGCAGACTTGTCAAAGCATTAATTCATGGTTTTTACTAACCGGTATCAGTATGTTGTTACTTCGGCATCATTTTGAAACGTGTATTACAATTAAATCACGGTCAAATATGTTCATTTTGTTGTAGTTGCCAGCGATTCTCTCACTAGTTTAGCGTTGTTGGCCCGGAAAGAACCTCGATTTTGGAGAGCTTGTGAACTGTGAAAAAGTGCCGGAACTACGCCTAGTGGAAAACGCAACCAAAAAACGGGCCGGGCACGGCACGCTTAAACCGCGCTGTAGTGGAAATGCGCCATAAGACCACTGAGTGGGGGGTGGGGGGACGGTGCTGAACATGTGAGTAAAGGATGCTTGCCTTGTATGCTTTTAGGAGGACACTGTATTGCATTTTTTCTAGACAAAATTGTTAAGGTTTACCCTAACTACAAGCCATGATTTTCCAAGCAAGTCTAAAATGACTGTAGAAAAATAAAAAGGCATAAAGTTGAAGAATGATCTTGCAGCGGGGAAAGCTGCAAAGAGAAACAAGATGTTAAATAAGGAAATGCAACGCAGGATAAGACCAGCAGCCCACTGTATGTATGTGAAATGTGTGTGTACATGAACTCAGAAATAGTCTCTTGTCACCAGTCATTAACTGCTCTCTGTCCACTGGCCTCGTCCCCCCTGCTCTGAAACTCGCTGCTGTCACTCCCGTACTAAAAAAACCTGGCTCCTTCAATTACTACCGGCCCATCTCTAACCTCTAGTTTCCGCACTCGCCACATCACAGAATCTGCCCTACTGGTTCCCTCTCAATCCTCATTGTCCTTGATCTAACCGCCGTATTTGACACGATCAACCATTCGATCCTCATCACCCGCCTCCAGTCTTTCATTGGCATAACCGGCACTGCCCTCTCCTGGTTTGAATCCTATCTCTCTGAAAGACATCAATTCATCTCCATCAACAACTCCTAAGCCCCCGTCAATCATGGTGTTCCTCAGGGTTCTGTACTTGGGCCCCTTCTGTTCATCATCTACATCCTCCCAATTTGACAAATCCTCTGTCAACACCAACTCCAGTTCCACTGTTATGCTGATGACACACAGCTCTACCTATCAACAACATATATTTCTCCAACCATTCACTCCCAGCTCACCACTGACATCAGCATTTGGATGGAAAACTATTTTCTAAAACTCAACTGTTACAAAGCGCAACTCATAATCATCGGCCCAAACTCACTTACCTGCTCAACCCAGGATTTTTCACTTACCATTGACGGCTCCATTGTCAACCAGGCCCGGACTGGCCATCGGGAGGACCGGGAGGTTTCCCGATGGCCTGGCCTGTTAAGTGGCCTGCTGGCCTGGGCGATTATTTTAATTTGTTTAATGAATTGTGAACGCAACGCTGCGCAAATGTGGGTTTGCCTCACACAGGGTGACTGTCTGTCTACATGATGTGGCCTGCCGACATGGCCACTTCCATACCGATCATAAATCAAAGCCCTCGATTGGTCTCTGTGTGTCATTCAAGCTCGGGAGTGTGTGTGTATGTGTGGCACGAGCGAGAGAGAGAGAGAGAGAGCGCGCACCGGTTACTTGTATTTTTGTTGTTAGCATCTGGTTAGCTAGCTGCTCTAAAAGATATAAGGAGCTGTTTCAACAACAAGGTGGAGGGAGAGTCCTCTGCTGTCAGACTGAGAGAGATAACTACAGCTCAGGTGAGGTTAAGGACTCTCTGAGTGTTTAGATAGTTAACTTAGTTAACTAAGTTATCTCAGTGGGTCTCAAACTGTTTGGTCACCATTTATGTAAACACATATTTCCATTTGAGGGGGGAGTGATTAGTAAAATGTGACCTGCTCCGAAATCAGTCGCATTGACCCGAAGACACATTTTGAGTTGTATACACTGTTGGAAAGAGGAAATTCCTAGCTTTCTAATGATATCAGGATTGTTTTTGTACTCCAAATATTAAGCAAAATATGTCACATTATATAATGACTGTCACCGAGTCATCATTTTGAGAAAAAGGCCTTTAAAGTTTCCTCTTCTCTGGAATCCATCGATCTGATTGATTATTAGCGGAGCAAATGATCAAAATACTACGGAGGGAAGATATTTTCGTTTGGATTACTGGTCTGGGGGGAAGCTCGCGAGTGTGTGTGTGTATATGTGTGTGTGTTTGTGTAATTTTGCGTTTGTGCGTATTGTGTTTGTTTCCCGGGGAAAACACAAACACTCACGAGAAACACCGGCTGTTGTTATGCCTGCTGTGACGTTAGGTTGCTCCGTTCTCCGCTTGTAATTATGCCGTTACAAGCTTCAAAGTTGTATTTATCATCTGAATTTGCCGAAACAAGTTGACTTCCGACTGATTTCGATAGAGCGGGTCACAAATATGCATGAATAAAAAGAAAAAAATGTTAAATAGGTGAAAAAAGGTAAGATAAACTTTAAAAACTTGTTGAGAGCTAAAACTAGTCTTTGCTGCTGCCAAGAGGAGCAGGGGGGAGAGGTGGGAGAGAGGCTGGTTCAGGAGCCCACACACACTCATAACTATAAATGAACCAAAAATAAATAAATAAACAACTTTAAAAAAAAAAATTATATTGGATATGGTATGTTATTGGTTATGGCCATGTTCTTATGATTTTATGATTATTTAAATGTATACAGTTCTGTTTCAAATGGGTGTTTCCATATATCTCTCTTTATTTCCCCTCAAAATGCACCAGATTGATGCATTTAACTCCAAAAAATAAATAAAAAATCTTACCAGGGGAGCATGCCCCCGGACCCACCTAGAGGGTTTGAGATCCGCCCAAGTAAAGTCTATGTGTGGGAAACCCTGTGGTGCACAGGGCGCAGGTGTGCACGGTTTCTCCTGACCTGTCCTTCATCTGTGCGAACGACGTAGGATCTGGGAGTTGTAGCCTGCTGAATCACTGTCCCTTGTTTTTCCTCTCGTGGAAGCCACACATTTTGACCAGACTGCAGTGGTCAAATCAAATCAAATCAGGTTTTATTTATATAGCACATTTAAAAGCGATTTTTGGTCGAGCCAAAGTGCTGTACATGTAATAAAAACACATTACTACAATCACAATAAAAGACAATAAATTACAATAGATATATATAAAAAATAAAATAAAACAAAACAAAACACAAGGAACAGTCAGGAGTCGTGCTCCGCTCTAACTAGAAAGCCAGAGAGAAGAAGTGTGTTTTTAGTGTAGATTTAAAAACCCCTAGGGTTTGGGCCGACCTCACATGGAGGGGCAGAGTGTTCCAGAGCCTAGGGCCAGCTGCTGCGAAGGCTCGATGCCCTCGGGTTTTAAGCCTGGTCTTGGGCACTACCAGCAGCAGCTGGTCAGCAGACCTTAAAGCTCTGGCTGGGGTGTAGCGCTGGAGGAGTTCAGCTATATAGGCCGGAGCCAGCCCATTTAGTGCTTTAAAAACAAATAAAAGGATTTTAAAATCAATTCTGAACCGAACTGGAAGCCAGTGTAGTGAGGCCAGAATAGGGGTGATGTGGTCACGCTTTTTGTGGCCAGTCAGCAAACGTGCAGCTGCGTTTTGGACTAGCTGCAGGCGTTTAATTGAGGCCTGGTCCATACCCACATACAGAGCGTTGCAATAGTCCAGTCTCGAGGTTACAAAGGCGTTAATAACGCTAAGTAATTAAAAGATAAATACGACTTGGTTTTGGCCAATAGTCTTATTTAAAAAAAGCAGGATTTGACTACGGTGCTGACCTGCTGGTCGAATTTAAAAGTGTTAGTGAAGGTCACTCCAAGGTTCATGACCGAGGGGAGGATGTTTTTTTTGAGAGAGCCCAGAATATCAACCGGAGAGGCTGGAGGTTGGGGTCCAAAAAAGATGACCTCAGTCTTGCTCTCGTTGAGGTTGAGAACGTTTTTGCTCAGCCAGGATTTTATCTCTGTTAAGCAGTCCATCAACTGCTGTAGTGAGTGTTTGACATTTGCTTTGAGAGGCAGATAGATCTGTACATCGTCGGCGTAGCAGTGGAAGGGAATATTATGTTTTGTGAGTATTGAACCTAGGGGCAGTATGTACAGTAGAAAAAGGATGGGGCCCAGAATCGAGCCTTGGGGAACCCCACAGGTAAGAGGGGCTTTGGCAGAGGAGAAGGCACCTAGCTGTACCGAGAAGCTACGGTCTGTCAGGTAGGACCTGAACCATGCAAGGGCAGAGCCTGTGATGCCAGCGGACTGTTCAAGCCGTGACAGCAGGATGCTATGGTCCAC